ATGATTGTTGCTCCGACTGCCCACGTCGATTAAGGGATCAAGGATCCACTGCAGTTAAGCTGCGTTATTTGTACAATTTATTTAGGCAGGTAAATGTTTTATTGCCTTAATTAAAGTTCATTTCTTTTATGATGAATTTTTAAATTCGGTTGGAGGTATAAAATGGTTAAAGGTTTGTCATAAAATGACTTAAAATAAATAGCTTTGTTTCGATAAATAGCAACATTGGACTGCATTTGAGTCCAATTTAGGTAAAACCATAATTAGCCATAATCATAATTAGGTAAAAATACCTAATTATGGTGCAACTTTCTTCTGCTTTTATAATAGAGAGAAAAGAAGGAATGAAAATATGTGTTTTGTTTCTTCTAAAGCACCTTGTCTTGGTGCAAACTTCCGTTGATATTTGAAGCTTGTGAAAATAGCAAAATATGCTTAAATTGAGCAGCATTTTATGTTGCCAGCAAATGGATACTAAATTTTGGTAAAACGTGGCAGGGAGTTTTTAACAGTGTATTGTTAATAACTCAATATTTTGACTAGAGGTTAAATTTAAAAAAATTTGATGATACTAATGTAAACATAATAAAGTTTATGCTCATATTTAGAGTAATTGAAGAGTGAGGGATTACAAATAGATTTTTATACTCAGTTGCCAGGACATTCAATAATAATTAGCTGTAATGATTGCTGCTATAATTAGTTCTGATAAAAGCGGTCATTGAATAATAATTGTTGCATTTATATAAAAAGTTAACAGTTTCACTTATAGGTATAGGTAAATGAAAAAAATAAAAATGCTTGCATTTACTCTTTATAAAATTGAATCAACATTGATTAAGTGATTTATTTAAAGGAGAATTAGGTATGATTTAACAAAATACAAATTTATAAAATAAAATAAAAATTATGGAATACAAAAAGTTTGAAATCATATAATGACATAACAGAAACAGCATATCTACTGAACGAGTTAAAGTGCATTAATCATGGAAAATGTATTTTTTAATTGTATTAAAACTGAACTTTTAGCATTTCAGTTGATACGAATCGGAAAGCTTTGTGGTTGAAAGTTCTAAATAATTTTTAAGTTCATTTAGTAAATTAGTCTTACACAGGGATCCCACATTAGAGTCATTCAGAGTGGTTTAAAAAGCCAGTTAGTCATTCCTCTATACTAAGCCATTACAAAAGAGAGAACTAAAAAGCTAATTACTAAATACAAGGTGACCATAAAGCTAATTTACAATGTATGAACTAATTTACAATACTCCGGCTTTTAACAACACGTACTCATTTTGGAGATTTTTATCTTGGTTGTAGTTGGTCGCAATTATAAAGTAACCTTATGTTTCTTTTCAAATTTGTTTCCTGAACTACTTATTTTATTCATTCAAGAAAATGCCATACAGAATAGCAGGCCGCTAAACGCTGCTAGATTGGAAAATCGCAACCAGGAAGTAAGAGTTGTGCTCCAAGGAATTGGATGAAAGCGTATTTTTAATCATTAAAAACAATGTAAACAACAATTAAATTCAATATAAGCAAGTACTAAAATTGTGCACCTGAAAAGTAAAATATCTTTATGCTTTCAAATTTAGGCTGTTTTTAGGACCTTTTCAATTTAAGCAAAAAAGCATCCAAATCGTACTCACGAATACAATCTTGTTTGTCATCCCTCTTGAAATTCTCAATGCATACACAAGCCCCCATTTTGCATTCTTCAAAAGGCTTTGTGCATTTGATGTCCATAAATGGGCAGTTATCAATATCTGGAATAAAATTCAGAAACATAAAATGAAAAACACGGTTCTCAAAATTTGTTTTTGTATAATTCGGCATTTTTATTTCGATGGTCTTTTATTTTTCATTCGTGAATGTTTATTGGTTAATTAGAAACTTCAAAGAAATTTGTTCCATTAAATGCCTGGGTGAGTTCAATAGTTAAAATATATGGCTGTGATAAAAGGAGAAAGTGGAAACAATAATATTTCTGAGAAGATGGATATAGATATCGATACTAAGAGCATAGAAAGTTACCAGGATGCTTAAAAAGATATTATGCGCTAGAAATAATTTTTATATCAAAATAAAATATAGAAATATATTATAAAAGAGGACTTTATGTGTAAAAAATAAGTTATATTAAATTCTATAATATATATTTCATGTAAAACTGTGCACAGTCAAACATATATTAGTTAAAATAATTCTCAAATATTAAAAGTGAATTTTTCGCACTTTTGCTAAATGATCTCTTCAGCAAAAAACATGCAAAGCATTTTTAAAGGAACCGATAATTGAAAAATAATTAAGTTTGTGAACGATGTTGCAATTATAACTGATTAAAATGATTAGGTTTAAAGTTCATCATAATGGAATCATGAACTAAATCTGGGTCACTAGAATCAACTCCTTGCATTCGACTGCCTTTAAAACGGTTAAAAAAAGCTACCACTAAAATTTTACAAGACAAAACTCATTATTTACACTCATGCCATATTATGCTGAACAAAACTGTACTTAATAAAATTATTATGTGCGTCAGGCCGCTTGTAGCCAACACCTCCTAGATAAGAGCAGGCCTCAGCACGGGTTACCATAAATATCCTTTAGTAGTCTAAACGTTATGACATATTTCGTATTTTCAACCACTGCGCTGCTTATTACACCAAACGAAATTACATCTTTCTTATTTTTCATCTACTGCGCAGTTAACTTCGCTAGATCGGACTACTAAATTATTCCGTGCTGAGGCAACCTTCTTTCTTCTAGGAGGTGTTGTTGTAGCCCCTTACCATCAGCTCCTACATTACAAAGCCTCCACATGGGTTCTTATAAGTAGTTTGCGCAGTCAGTTTAAAAAGTGAACCAGTTGTGCGCATGAGCCCAAATTGTATTTCAAAAGTAATTGAGAGAAATTTATCACATCAGACAAGAAAACAACTACGATGTTTGCAAAATATTTTATAGAGTGGTAATCCTTTTGAAACCAAACCTTGCAAAGTTTTTTTTTTTAATTTTGCTTACATTTTATGAGCTTCACCATGAAAGAACTGCATCAAAGTGCAGAGATGCCAACTTGCTCCGGACGGCAAATCAATATTTTAAAGTGGTAGTTTATCAATTGTGATTCTTGGTTTAATAAGTGCAATTTAATAGATTTTTATCCACCACTATTTCTAAATAATTCGTAGGCTTATATAATTCACCACTTCAAAGTTGTTACGTTATGCTATGCCCTTTAAAAAGCAGTAAAAATAGTCAAATAATTGCAAAATTTAGTTTGCAGTTATTTACCGTTTTTTTACTAATATTGGCGTGTCCGGAGCAGTTGGCATCTCTGAAAGTGGCCTTGTATATGAACTTTTAAGTCATTTAAATGTAGTGGTGTAGAAAATAAATATAAATGAATAAAAAATAATACATACCCTCCAACTGCTACGGAATTTCCGTAGTTTCAGAAATCTTCTTTTCAGACGGTAGCAAAATTCATGTCTTAATATTTTAAAAAAATTAATTTTAGCGTAACTTGTCCACTATTACTTATAAAATTGCAGGCTATATGGCTAGATTCTTAAGTTCTGATAAAAGTTTTATGAGAGATCCATTAGCTTTAAAAATTTCTATTTTGGTTCGCTACCACTAGAAAGAATTATTTTCAAAATCCTCATAAGTTGGAGGGTATGATAATATATTAAAACATAAACATAGCTAGCTTAGAAAGTTATCAGCCTGTATATTTGAGAGTTGAATCAGTTATGGTTGATAAGTAAATCAGACAAACCAATCATACTCATTAAATTAAACAAAATATTAGACATATATTTGTTACGACTTTCTTATTTTTACTAGATTTTGGAGCCGAAACTGGTTAACCTTAATAGTGGCAGATGCCAACTTGCTCCGGTTAGCGAATTAATATCTTAGAGTGGTAGTTTATTAATTGTGATTCTTGGTTTAATAAATTTAATTTATTAGGTTTTTATCTCCCACTATTTCAAAATAATTTGAAGGCTTATATAATTCGCCCCTTTGCTGTTTTTAATTCATGCTAAACCTTTTAAAAAGTAAGAAAAATTGGTCAAATATTTTCAAAATTTAATTGTATTTATTTACCGTTTTTAATTATTTTAACTTGTCCGGAGCAGTTGGCATCTCTGTAGTGGTCTGATCGGACTACCTTTTGATGCTTTCAGTTATGGGATACATAGTCCTTACCCATTCAACCTGATATTGATCTATACAACGGTTCGATGAGATGAGTATTATGTTGGGTCTCCACTAAACAGGTAAAAAATTTAAAGATTTATAATGGTAGACAACTAACTGGTGACAGTGACCTTTCAAGTGCAAAGGATAAAAAAAAACTGCATCTTTTAGGCGAGGAATATTTAATTTTTAAAGTCTTAGATCTTAGTTAAAAATGATTGAAGTCTTGTATATTTTTTGTAAGAATATTTCATTATTTTAACGCATTGAATTCTTAAACTTTATATCTTATAAAAACATGCCATCTTGCTCCGGACGCCGGATAAATGTTTTCCAGCGGAAGTTTTTAAGTGTATTCTTGGTTTAATAATTTCAATTTATTGGGTTTTTACTCAAAACTAATTATATTTGAGAGATGAATCTTAGAGTTGATCTTAGTTAAAAAAGATTGAAGCCTTGTATATTTTTTGTAAGATTATTTCATTATTTTAACGCATTGAATTCTTAAACTTTATATCTTATAAAAACATGCCATCTTGCTCCGGACGCCGGATAAATGTTTTCCAGTGGTAGTCTTTAAATGTATTCTTGGTTTAATAATTTCAATTAATTGGGTTTCTACTCAAAACTACTTCTTAATAATTCAAAGGCTTATTCGATACACCATCTTGTTACAGTCAAGCAGTAGCAACCACATTGCCTGCTAATCTCAACGAAGCCAAGCAAAATGACGGATACACGATGACTGGGATAGACGCTCAGATCCAAAAGCAAGACAATCAAGCCGTCTTTTTCCATCATGTAAATATTTTATGTATATTATTCAGACTTCTCTCTTTCGTACCTGTATATTATATCAATTATTAATCGGACTCTTTTTTGTATATATTATTCGTTTTACTGTTATTTCTCGATTTCACACCTACGTTGCGTATTGGCAAATAATTTCGCTGAAAGGGCAAGTGCCACAAAGCAAGAACCTCGCTAAATGCTATCACATTAAAGCATTTTATAGTCAAACCGTGTTGATGCTCTTAAAAATCTGCAAAACTAACCAAAATTTGCGGATTTCAGTTTCTGGATTTCGATTGTTTTTTAAAATATTTTGTCGATTTCGGAGCAGTTGGCATCTGTAAATATAATTTTCGTTAAACAAAATTTTTGTTTCGTCCTTAACGGATATCATTTAAAAAAAAATAGAACTGATTTTTTTTAATTAAAAACCAATAAAAAATCAAGTTAAATGTTGTTGGGTATTGTTGAAAAATCCTTACTTTCGCATTGCTTCTTTTCATAATTGTAATATTGGTCTTTGGAGCAGTCACAATATCCGATTTTTGTTCTGAAGTCAAATCTGCATTTTTCTGCTGGGCACTCGGTTTTCCCAAATCCTTTGGAGCACCAATAACTACCTCCGCAGTCTGGTCCACCAAATGGATAGTTACAAATGCATCTTTCCTTCCCTTCCTCCTCCAGACAGACTCCAAAGTTTTTGCACAAGTTTTTCTTACATAGTTTGTACTCTGAAACGATGCAGAATTAATTATTAGAATAATTTTGTAATGTTGTTACTAATAGCACTTGCAGATACCAGAAAGCCTGCTATGAGAATCCATAGCAGTTTAAAACAGTGGGTGCGTTTTTTGTTTTTCAGTGGCAACATCTATGGACTACAATTTGAATTTAGCCACACACAAGTCACAGCCCGTTTTACAGGGAGGACAGATTCATACTCCATTCATTCCTCCACAGGTCGTTATTTTAACCTAAACTAGAGAATGATAAATATCCAATTCAGTTCCTCCAGAGGAATTGATTTGTTATCGGAACTTGGAGGAATTTGTGTCCCTTACGGATTAAACGTTCACCAGTCACAGTTTAATACCCAGGGATTCGAACACATGATCTCACTAATACGAGATCGGCGTCCTACCAACCTGGCTATCACGGCCTTTACTTGTGTTATACATTACACAATAATCACTCTTATTGTCCTTTATTGTTTTGTAATTCATATATTATTCATATATAGAAATATTAAGAGAATTACCTGTATAATTGTACAATTGTGCTGTACGTAACATAATTATGCCGATAATTGCTTTAATCTTTTTCAAACGTACTCAAATCAAAGTACAAAAAAAATGACAATAAGAGTAATTATTCTTTTTATATCGATAGATATTAACTTTAATTCACTTGGAAAGTTATTAACTCTACAGACTTAAAACAAGCCATGATTTTCTACCAGAGCATCTGAACTGTACTAGCATCCTGAAAAACGGAAATGCTAGATTTATGGTGCAGGTAAAATAAAAAAAATGCCGAATACTTTCCATTTTTCCGAGGACTCTATCCAGAATTTCAGACAAGCGGTGATATTTTGATATTATATTGGGACGCTAAAACATAAGAGATTCTTAGTAAAGTTTTTGTGAATTATGGGGTCATCACGATTCACTAATGTAAATATTGTACTTAATTTTAATTTTATTTTATTATTTTTCTTTGTATTGCTCAAGTTGCCTGCAAATTCATAGATTGATTCTCAACTTACGTCATATAAAAATAAAGGATGCTGCTGTATTGCATTTAAAGAAAATTACTTATATATTTGTTACTGTTACCAAAATAAAGGAACCTTTTATCTTAACTACTGAATAAATAACATAAATGTAGCACAGAAAAAATATTGCGAAACAAAAAAAAAACATTAAATTGTATTGCTTAATTTACCGAGAAAAAAAAAGATCTCACCTTGTGAGAAAAAGCATAAGAAAAAAACTCCAATTAAAAGGAAGAAAAAAAAGTGTTCTACTAATTCTTTTAAAAAACAAAGAGAAAACGTGAACCCCCAAAACAATATGTCCTTTATTTAATTTTGTGCTTTTGTCAACCAGGTTTAATATGACTCGTCTATCTTCAACAGCAATTTAAATTCTGTTCTTTTGAAAATAATCGTCTGCTACTATGTCAATCTTCAACATTATTATTCTTAAAATAGTCATTTAATATAATTTCGAAGTATCAACGCTTATCTGAAATTATAATTATAATAATTTATACATTATTCCAAAACGAAAGGGTATATTTTGTGTTACGTAGAATAAAGCAGAAACAACGAATAAAAGTACTGAAATGGACATACTATAATTTCGGTTCCATAAACAATAACCCACTATCCGGTTAGAACTCCCCAACGAAGAATTTTTATTGTTTATGGATCAGAAACTACAGTATGTCTATTTCTGTACCGATGTTTGGTTTTTTTTATGTTTTTTCTTTTCTTTTTCGAACATTAGAATGTTGTTAAAAAAAGTCACGCAGTCTTCAGAACTGAGTTGATTGCTATTGATAGTGGCTCGTCTGCTGTATGGATCCTGTCTGAGAGACGAAGTTCGATTCAGCACCTTGTTAAATGGCATAAAGTAGGTTGCAGAACAGGAAGGGCAATTGTAAACAAACCGGAGCACCTTTCATCCTATCGTGAGGGGCACTTCCAATGGATACTATTCCAAGTTGATATGCATAATAGTAATCGGACGGCAGATATTTTGGCTGAAGAGGTAAGCCATTGGACACACCTGATTCACTAAATTATTTGGCCCAGGGGTCCAGATAAGTTAGGCTAACTATTACTAGCACATGCTTACTATTACTAGCGCTTACTAACTTTTACTAGATAGATATCTGATAACTAACATGATAATTATTATTAAAGCGTGCTATAAAGGCTAACTATTACTTAATTTGTGCATGTTCTAGTAATAGTTGAAGTAACTGCATAAGTCTAATAAGGTAAATGTTTTGGAACTCAAGGGCTAAGAAAGCTGAAAATGTTTCTTGGACCATCATCCCACTTGTTCCTCAATGGTACCAGGGAAAGTGTCCTGGGGGTGCTTTATCACTCAAGTTTTGCTGGTGGGACCAGACGGCCATCACCAGGCTTATCAGTGGGCATTTGATATTTCTGTCTTATTCCAATGGGAAAAAAAAATTTTATAACCTGTATGAAGTGGGCCGAAAATCAGGCCGCACTTGACCATATACTAGATTATCTAGGGCTTTCCAGACAAGATCTTTTTCAATAACTTAATTCTTGTTTTAGACCGTCTTTGAGTGAGAGATTTCATAGAACTGATTTAACGTTGCTAAACAAGGGGGATATGCAACAACAACAACAGAAATGTCCTGAAAAAGTTCATGCAAGTTTCAAACTACCCTATATAAAAACACCCATCTTGATTTACACGAGTTTCTCGACAATATATTTTAATTCGAAAACTTTAAAACTTTTCAGGAAAAAGTATCTATACTTACTTAGAGTAGTTAAGGAGAAACTTGTCTTCGATGTTGCTTGAGAACTGGGTGCAGATTCAGAAGAAATGAACATAGATGAAGTAGACGATTCAAAGTCTGTTGCTACTGATGAACCATGCACAGAAATATCAAATGGTTTGAATGAAGATGAAAAATAGTTAGAGTCATCAATGACGTTAGTAGGTTTATACGTAATGGTTGTATGAGCCGTTAAATTTGGGACATCACTAGTGATAATAAAAATATCCCGAGATGATGACGGGGACACATATGGGGAGGATTTTGGTACAGGGCTTGTTTCCTTCCTCGTTGATATTTGCGCAATTGCAGATGTAATTGGAGTAGAAGTTCCTGGTGTTGGAACAGTAGATATGATTGGAGATGAAATTTCTGGTGTCGGAACTGTAGATGTGATTGGAGATGAAGTTTCTGGTATCGGAATAGTAGACGGCTTTGTTTTTATGGTGCTAGTAATAGTGGAAGTAACTGTAGATGTAGCAGGAGAGGAAATTAGTGTTTCTAAAATATAAGTATTAATGTTATAACTGTTATAATTTATAATAATGTATTTATTATTTAAAATAATGGTTTACAATAGAGTCTGAAATTCCAAATTAAGTATAATAATTTGGTCATTTTAGTTCTAGTTTTTTTTAGCACCATACTTTAATTTTGACTTTTATTAGCGTTGTAATAATACAAAATAACTTGTAGGCGATTAAAAAAAAACTTTCCGAATTATAGTTTTCAGTTTTATTTAAATTTAACGTGTCTTCCAGTTCCTACGCAACCTGAAAAAAAAATTAAGAAAGTGACATGAATGTATTATTTTAAAGAATCTAATATTTTCTGAGTTTCACTTAAAAATTCAAATTCAAATCGGAAATTCAGATCTAAATGTTTATTTTGTTAGAGTTAAGAAATATTTTTATAATAGTCACTAACATAATTAATTACAGTTTTTTATCTGAATAATATTACTCTCTAAATTTTTCCTCGAGCATATCAGCCCTGTGTTTAAACTTTTCAAAACACTCAACGTATAAATTTTGACTCCCCATATAAAAGAAGCGACAAAAACTTGGAAGAACAGTTCGAACGCATTAGGCAATTAAGCAGTCATCCAGGAACCTTAAAAAACATTTGACAGCAAATTAAAACGCCAAGAACTTGAATTTTTTATCACAAATGATTTTAGTTTCTTCTCAAAGATTTGTTCTCAACTTCATGAATTGATTCTTATTCTTAACGAATTAATTTTTTAAGGAAAAATTGCTAATGTTTGTAACTGATGTAATTTTTGTAATTGTTATATATTATTTTTGGCTTAAACTTTCCTCGTTTTTAACCAACTTAGTCAATGCTATTATTTGGCATAATTACAGTCAGAAGAAAACCCTGTTTCGTCAAAATGAAAAACGTTCCTTATGGAAAGTTATTCCAATGCTGCACTGCTTGAGTTCATAAAATTATGAGAATTATATNCAATTATTAATATTACTGAAGAGTTTAAAAGTTATTTACCATTCATTATTTTAATTGAATACTTTAAGTGAATATAATTTTTTTTTGTATAATCATGTCCTATTGAAGAAAAAGGTAACATATAAAAGCTGAAATTATAGAAAAAATTAACTATACATAACGTAACTGCCATATTTCTCAATAAAGGAGATTCGTGCGCATGATAATCGCCTTATAATAATATAGTCATACTAGCTTACCCGGCAAACGTTGTTTTGCCATATGAATTATTGCTAGAGTATGGAAATATATCTTATTTATTGTAAATGCGTGCGTATGTGATATATGGGTGGAGGAGGCATGGAGCACTGTGAACGATGATGGAATGTGAAAATAACAACGCACAAAATAAAAATTTGTTTAATTTATTGTATTTTTTTTTATAAATTATATATACGATGAATTCTGAAAATATTAGTCAACAATATTAATCTCTTAGTGCAATGTAGTGTACAATATTTTTTGTCATTCCATCTTTAGCTAACACAAATAAACTGGAGGGTTTGTCCACTCGAGAGCATGGAACGGATAATTGTTCGTGTGAAAAACATGGTGTGCTCAAATCAAAGCCACAAACAAACATTGTTTGGCCTTGAAATTTATCAATAGTCATAGCAAATGCCTATCTAATGGGGAACTGAATGCGTTTAAATTGAATTGGCACATCTGTGGGCATAATAGGTATTCGTGGAAGTAATATATTTTAAAATAATTCAAATTAATGACTTCGATAACGTTGTTCATTAATTATTCAATGACTAATCGTGTGCCGTTGCATAGTCGTGGTGTGTTCGAATTACAAATCAAAATAACCGGAGATCCAACTTTCCCCTGGCGGGGACAGTTTATCAAGAGCTAATTGACCAGCTATCGACCAGGGTTAAAAAATATAAAATGATATTAAGAAGTAGGGGTTGTTGGTAGAGGGTTAAAAATTAAGGACTGAATGTATTTTTTAATGCCACACCATAAAAAAGTAACAAAATTTTTTTCTTCCAAAAATGAAAAAAAAGGTATATAGTAATAAACCTATTTTCAAAGTAAATATTAATAAACCTATTTTCAGACCTACTGAATATACATATAAAATTTCATCAAAATCGGTCAAGCCGTTTCGGAGGAGTTGAAACACTAAAACTGTGACAAGAGATTTTTATATATAAGATGTACATGTGACTATCGCTACTGTTTCGAAAAAAAAAATACAAATAAGGATCAAATATAGTTATATTCTATTACTTGAATTGTGAACAATTTTATTTTTTAATTTATTAAGTCCTTTTACCTGTACTAGAATTAGATTCTTTCCAATCTGTGGTTTCTGAGCTATTCGTTGAATATTGTCGCTCTGTTTCTGCAAAATAATAAATTTTATCATCGTAGAAGTACATGCGACTATCATTACTGATTCGAAAAAAAAAGAAAACACAAAAAAGAATCATGAATAGTTATATTCTATTTCTTGAATTATGAACAATTTTATTTCTTATTTTCTTATGTCCTTTTACCTGTACTAGATGTAGATTCTTTCCAATCTGTGGTTTCTGAACTATCGGTTGCAAAATAATAATTTTATCACCATAAAAGTACACATGAGTTTAAAAAATACTATACTATATATATAAATTCTTTCCTATTTGTTGTTTCAATATTATCGGCGGAATATAATAACTTAGCTCCTAAGATATTATAATTTCCTTTAAAAATCAAAATACTAATCAAGTTTAGCATAAAACAGAAGAAAAGAAATACACCAACTACAATCATTATTCGTATAAAACTGCAATTATTAAAATGTTGAACAATTGTCCTTTTTAGTTTCAACATTCTTTTAGTTGTTAATTCTAAACAATCAATGTTATCAGAACTAACGGAAATATATTGTTTTGCAAGGGTCTGGCAAGATATTATGTCTTATTACTGTAAAAATGCAGATCACAGTAAAAACTGAGCAGAGAAAAAAAATTACACCAAAAAGAGTCAATATGAATATAGAAATACAATTGCAAGTACAGGGTGTTTCATATTGAATGGGACAAAAAGAATAGCGCAGTGTGACTGCCGTAATGGATTTATTCAGCCGAAACAAATTTATTCTGCAACTACAATTATACAAGTTTTATTTGACAACAAGGAAAATACATCGAATGACGAACTCGTAGCTAGAGGCACTGCTAAACAAAATGTTGTCCATGCAGGAGAAAGCGTACTGCGTTTTTGAATATGCTAAAACCTCCTCGGTAACTGTTATGCAAAGATATTTTCGCACGAAATTTCGTAAAGAACCACCGCATCGGCATAACATAAGCAAGTGGGTGAAGCAGTTCCGGGATGCGAATTGACAAAACATACCGTAGATTATAAACTAGGCGATTGCACGTGGAATTGGCGATGGATTACGCGTAAATGTGGTGGGAGAACGAAATTACATTAACCTAAACAGTGAAATTCGATATTTTTTTTCTCCTCCTCGACTAGCCATGATGAATAAAAATAACTCATTAATTCATTTTAGTAGAGAATTAAAAAAGAAAATAACCTTTTTATTCTTAGGATCACGTTACAAATAAACTGTATTTATATTTTATTAAGCGCAATAATTTATATTTTATAAAACGATCTAGTTTTTTGATATAACAGATTTAATTTTTTTTACAAGAATTGTGTTTGTGAAGAAATAAAAATAATTTATTATTGAACCAATCACAAAAAATAACGTAACATTTTAATACCATGTTTTATTGGAACGCTATTTTAAAGAATTAATTCTATTTAACTTTTATTGTAAGAAAACATAACCTGTTTTAATTTAGTGATTTTCTCTGTTAAATCAATCTTGATAAAAGAATAATGTAAACTTTTTTATGAACATTTTTTTCAGAAATTAACAAAGACATATTATTTATTAGAAAAAAAAATTGGAGTATTCAAAAATGTTATCACGCTTTAAAGTAAAAATTTCTTGCAAATGAAAAAATCGATATTTTTAAAATTTTAAAGTAAAATCGGAAATTCGCTAGTGAAAAAAGAAATATGTGAAATAATTTCAAGAAGGGAAAAATGTACAAATGAATGGATTTTTCTTCAATGACCTATATCACGTTTGTTTTATTACTAGAAGCATTTATTGTAAAAAAATATTTATTAAATAACTCTTTTTTCAATGGGATGAGATCTTAAACTTCGTGAAAAATTGATTCAATTCCTTAATATACATAAAAGTCCGTAAATACTTCATTTATTATGGAGGTCATAGATACCTTGATACTCTTTCAGTATAAGAATAATAAATGCAATTAATAGAAAATGCACAATTTTAAAAATATATTTTATTTACATATATTGTGTACAGGTTATTCTGCAACGATCATACGTAGCATAAATTTATAGATTCCTAAATACTGTTATATGAATTAGGTAATTAAAAACATAATTAAAAAAATAACAGAATTAAAAAATAACATAATTAAAAAAATTTTCAACCTTTATTTGAAAACTTCCTGTTGTCAAGTATTAATAATAATTATAATTTTTAACAACTTTTTTAAACAAAAATTTTTAATTCTCAAACTTAATACTATCCTTCATATGAAAATATCCGAAAATTTGTAAAAGAAAAACTATATTTTAAAATTGAGCCATTGGCGACAACAGAGGTCAGATGTATATTCTGAGTTTAAATAAATTATATATTATAGAACTCACATTTAGGACTTAGATCAATTTATTATCAGTTCATAAGAGTGTTTTTTAATAAATAAATGTAGTGATTGTTTGATTTATAATTGTAAGTCCTGAGTGTTTAATGTTAAGTTATGTTTCCTTTGAAATAATTTTTGAACTATGCAAAGCAGGGCGACATTCATTTCAACTTAAAATGATAAAAACTTTAAATGAAATACTTTTAGAAAAATACCTTCTAAATAAGATTTAAATAAAACGCAATCACTTCGCCTGAGTGATTTTGTAAAGAATTCCAAATTTTTTAATTTCACAAGTTAGGTGAAAAGTAAATATCTTACAATAGTGGTAGGGAATTAAGGAAATTCTAAATTAAATGAACGTTAAAACATTGAGTGCAAAAATTTTTCTATTCACTTAAAAGTTCACTGGAAAGTTCCCAAGATATGGCGAAATGCGCAAAAAGTAAAGTTAACACTAAGGGGTCCTAACATTGCATTGCTTTCCTGACCAAACTATTGGGATAATATTTCCAGATTGCGGCAACCCCTATATACTGGGAATCAAAAATCCGAATACGCAGGAAAAAAAATTCTCAAAGTAGGCTCGTTTTAGTGTCTGATTTCCGAACTTTAAATATTTTGTCTGCTATAATTATGCGGCATATTTGAACTCACCCTCTCGATCCATTAAGATTGAGTCCTAGAACGTAAACATCTGATCATTAGATCAAAAGTTAGTTTTTAGATTTTTGTTTACTGCTCACTGTACACTAAAACGTGATTTTTTTTCTTTTGAAATTTCGATTTTAATGCCATTACTTCGATCTCCTTCGGGTTGTGCTTACTTTATAAATTTAATCTCAACTGTATTTTTCTCTTCACTTTTAAACTGTAAAAACTTTTTCTCCATTTGTAAATTATGAAAAAAATTATTAATCTGATTGCGTAAACAGTTAATTCATTTAAATTGGACATTCTCAATTAATTCCTTTCAATAGTCATTTATATTATTAATAATTATTATTTACACAAAATTATAATGAGGGAAAGTTTGATTAGAAATTTAAAACTTTTTGCTGCTATAATTAGGGAATTTATATCGACAAAATTCAAGTAATTTTTTTTTTCCGGAGCAAAATGCATTTTTATTTAAAAGGGAACAATACTGACTTAATATTTATACGATTAAGGACTCTCTAATCGCTAACACCGATGACAGGACAAATTTTCAATTTTTTCTTTTCCACAAAAAGTTTAGAACTTAAATTGTTGTTCTTTCATTATAAAGCAATCGCAAATTATTCTCGTATCATGTAAAACTTTATAACGAAGTTACTTATCTACCGCTTTGCAGTTATAAAATGAAATAATTATTAAATTATACTTGCATTTTAAAATGTAATACTCAATTGTTCAATGCATTTTACGATTATTATTATAAAACTGCGTATAATGAACATTTCAATTAAAATAATTAGTACAAAATAGTTGGTAAAAATTCTCTTAAGCATTTATAAATATTTTACATTTATAAATTTCAGCTTTTCGCATTATTGCTAAATAATCTCTACGTCGAAAAATATTTAAAGAATTTCATAATAACAGAAAATTAAATAAAATTTAAAAAAAAATTTAAATGGTTATCGAGCAGAACCATTAAGTTTTATAATGAATATAATCTATTAATGAATATAGAATTGGAAACTAAATCTCTGATAAACAATAAAAATTTTTTTAATCTTTTATGTAAACAAACTTTATTATAATAATCATTTCATTATTAAGGATTAAAGGTTATTGTGAAATTATTAATTCTAATTAGTGGATAAGTAGGAAAAGAATTTCACTACTCGAAATACATTTAAGGAAAGTTATGAAATTACAGAATATGTAATAATGTGTAATTTGCCCATGTAACATTCTCCGAAGGTGAGCGTTTTCTGCGCTTTATCAAACAGTTGGGTTTTTGGTCCATTTTTCTTTGCTGAAAAATCGATTAATGGGGACATTTACCAAGACATGCTCTCTGAGTGGTTGCTCCCCCAGCTGGAGGAAGCTGTTCCTGATTTAATTTTGCAGCAATATGGTGCTCCCCCACATTGGAATAACAACGTACGTAAGTTCCTGAACGAACGTCTACCCCATCGTTGGATTGGCCGTGCTAGGCCACAGGATTTGACATGTCTTCATTGGCCGCCGAGATCACCAGATCTAATGCCCTGTGATTATTTCTCTGGTGCTTCGTTAAAGACAAGGTGTTTGTGCCTCCACTTCCTCAGGACTTAGAGGAACTGAAGCAGCGGATAACTGCAGTGTTTAACTCCATCACAGGGGATATGCTATCCCGAGTGTGGCAGGAGCTTCATTACCGTGTAGACATTTATCGTGTCTACGAAGGGGCACATATTGAGCACCTGTAGAAACTTGAATAAATGTAGTTTCGAGGTAAATTTGAATTTTCTAAATATATTAATTATAACGTTTACAATCATGTTTTCTTTTTCTCCAATTCAATATGAAACACCCTGTATTGTAAACAATATGAGATTTTAAATTTAAAATAGTTGTGACCTGAACTAGATGCTAATTTTATCCAATTTTTGTTTTCAAAACTCTCGGTGGAATAGCGTGGCCCAGTTTCTGCTAGATTATAAATTTTGTTACTATGAAAATATAAATCACGGAAAGCACTGAGCTAAAGAAAACAA